ATACGTCCTCAAGCAGGTTGCTGAACTTCTCTTAACCCACAGTGTCTGCCATTAGAATTAGAATAATAGAAGTGACAAGTTTGGGTAGGGTCATTGTGAGAATTAAATGTGATATTGCAGCTAACGCACTTAATACAGGAATCAGCACATAGGAATCAGTATTTTTTTTAGCTATTATTAAAAGTGCTTGATTTACATTTTTAGCTCCTAAACCAGATTAATTCTATACATACATGTGTACAAGTACACATATACACATAAATATAACCCAGACTAAAAATATTTAAGTGATTCCCTTGGCTACGGTTAGCACTAGGACTATGGGACTATGTTTGCTGAAAGTTTATCTTAATACAGTCTCAGGGACAATGAACAAAAACTTTGTGTGTCCAGCCATATCCACTTCAGCCAAGATACAATCTGAATAGCATGCTTCTGATTCCTCTAGTGCTTTCTCATTCAGAAACTGAAAACGTGACAGAGGAGGGTGTGCTGTTATCGATGTTAAGTAATATTTCACCCACAAATTCCAAGTCTTGTGGCATAGGGAAAAAAACACAAGAAATGCATAACATATTTTCTTCATTCTCAAAACTGATTTATTCAACAAAGAAATAATCATGGAGAGCATACCATGTTCCAGGTTGTGTGTGTGTGTGTGTGTTTATAAAATGATACATTAATGGAGTTAAAATAGTTGGCAATTCTGAGAACTATTTAAATAGGCTAAATTGGAAGTCTCGATGTAGACTGAAAAACAATTTTAAGAGTTAATCACCCTCCACACACACACACACACACACACACACACACACACACACACACACAATTTGTCATGTGCAAAGACAGCTAATCCTAGTAAGAATAATAGCACAATTCATAAAGATGGCAAGCCAAGCCCCAACTTGAAACCTCATACCCTGGAGAGAAAGCTAAGTATGCATATTGAGACTCAAAAACAAAAATAAACAAACAAAAAAATCAATGGAGATCTTAAATTACATCCAAGTGAGGAAGTCAAGTAAAGCGTAAATGTGGCCACTTATTCAGGGCTGAGGCAATGGCAGATAGACTAAGTACGTTCATTGCCTGGGTCTTTACAGAAGATATCAGGGAGATTCTTCCTGGAACCTGACAGGCCAGGGTAGGAGACTAGACAGTGGCAAATGAACAGGATGTTCCAGGGCTGGCTGATAATGTTGATGCAGATAAGTCACAGGCACCAGGACATTCATGTGAACTCCTTAAAGGAACTCAAGGGTTCAAACAAGACCCCGTTGCACAAAATGCTTAACCTGTCCCTAACAACAGCTGCTGAGCTGGAGGACCCCTGGATTCCCAACCTGAGTCTCTTTCCTAAAAATATTAGATGTAAAATTAGCGTAATTTGTTAAATCCTAGCACAGCAAAAGCTGCAGAGGGCCTGCCTTGAAGTTTAAGTGGAGTAAATGAAGGACAAATAGTCAGAAAAGAAAAATCTTTAACAGCAGTTAACAAACTTAAGAAATTCATTACTCCCAAAGATATGGGCTAAAAATATAAAAAGATTCCTAAAAAGTTTAGATCAGTTCAGAGACATATAGACACAGCAGCAAGGTTTTCAGGGGCAATGACTTGGAGTCCCAGGATTGGTATCTTTGAGAGTGGCATTGGTGGCGAGATAAAGAAGCATTGCCCCTTATTTCTTGGTACTTCCAGGCTGGGCCTCTTTAGTAATGCCTGTATACCAGTATTCCCTCTTTCTCTCTCTTTTTTTTTGAGATGAAGTCTTGCTCTGTTGCCCAGGCTGGAGTGCAGAGGCACAATCTCAGCTCACTGCAAACTCTGCCTCCTGGATTCCAGCGATTCCCCTGTTTCAGCCTCCTGAGTAGCTGAGACTATAGGCATGCACCGCCACGCCCAGCTAATTTTTGTGTTTTTAGTAGAGAAGGAGTGTCACCATATTGGCCAGGCTGATCTTGAACTCCTGACCTCAAGTGATTTACCTGCCTCGGCCTCCCAAAGTGCTGGTATTACAGGTGTGAGCCACCACGCCTGGCCAGTAGTCCCTCTTTCTTTAATTAAACATGTCACCTCACTTTCAATCTTGGCATTTGGCCTCATGAATGATAAAAAGCCCAGTGTAAGTGGCTTACACCTGTATAATCCCAGCAATTGGGGAGGCTGAGGCAGGAGGATCACCTGAATCCAGGAGCTTGAGACAAACCTGGGCAACATAGGGAGATCGGTCTCCATAAAAAATTAAAATAAAATTCAAAAGCCCAGTGGATAGTCACTGTGGTTCTGTCTGTGCTGCACGTTCACTGTTACAGTCTTGTTTCTCTTATTTTAGCAGGGGTTCTGCAGCACCAAGAGACAGACATGACCAGCCCAGGGCAAGGGAGAGGTTGAGTTCACACTTTACCTTTGGCTTCCAGAAATGCTAAAGGTTCACAAAGGATCGGGTGCTGCCAAAGCCTCATCCCTTCTCCATCCATTCTAATAGGCCTGCTTGTCCCCATGGAAATATTAATGAATTCTCCGTCATAGGATACAGAGGTCACTGGAGAAGGAAGCAATTTCTACAAACGATAATCTATTTGTAGATTTGCTTTTCCACCTGCCCCATGCCCAACAAGAATATGTGAGGGCTTTGTGATCCCTGGAATGGGAGATAATACATAAAACATGCCAACAAAAGCACCATGACCTAAAAGAGACAAAGATATGGGATTTGGAGGTAAGTACACAAAGATAGCAATATAGAGTGGGGAGCACATGAATAAGGCATCTCTATTTTCAGTGAGAAAAACATACGAAGGGAAGCCTCATGATTTCCAGGTCATGCACCTCAGCGAATTCCAACACAAAGACCATCTCGGTGTCAAAAGGCCATATTCAGAGAGCTACTTCCAAACAGGCGGGAGTTGGCCCTATACAGAGATAATGTGGTAACATAACCCCCAGAGGAAAATGTGTTTTTAGTTACACCAGGGCCAGGCCCAGCCTTTCCCACAGGCTCTTCCTAAACAGGAACTTGGCAGTGGGATTAGCTGAGCTGGAGGGGACGTCCTTGGCTTTAGAGGTGAGGCCCATCAGGGTCCCGAGGAAAGTTGGGCAGAGGTTTTCCCTGCTGCTAATAGCACTGAAGAATCAGCATCACATCCATTTTATTAATTTCCTTGAAAGACAGCTCTAGTTACCATGCAGGCACCACAAAATCAAAACATACGCATGTCAGGGGGCCCCATCTGTGGTGGGGCCCTGCCAAGGCCTATGTTACATTAACACAAGGAAGCAGAGCACAGCTCCACACACCACGTGCTTGGTCCCATGGGCCATTCCCTGGAAGAAAACCACCAAAGCTTGATTGAAAGAGCCAGAGAAGTTCTCTTGGTGACAGTCCTTTATCCTGAGTCTGGGCTTCTCACGTTGAACATAAGAGCCCTGGGAGACATGTGGCTACATCTGGCTTCAGGGTCTTGTCTCTAAACACAGCTACACAGACCTCCCTGCCACATCCATTCAGTTCTGCCCATGCAGGACAAGAGCAGCCTGGATTAAAGAAGACACTTAAAGGAATGCAACATCTTATTTGTAAGCTGGATCTGAGCTTGGAGTTCTGTTGAGTTGAGACCTTTGGCTGCGTAACGAGCACAGGAGGATTTTTTAAATCAAGGTATCCGTTGCTATGAGTATTGCTAAAGTGATTGAAGGCACTCCAAAGCAATTTGTTCTTTGATGTAGAGCAATGTTAACTATCAGTTGGCTACATAATCCCAATTTGGCAGGTACAGTGGGTAAGGACCTAAAAAAATCTCTTGCTCTAAATAATATCACTCATAGGTACCCATGGTGAGCACTAACACATCTGTATCCTCATGCTTCCCATCCACCCCTCTTAATGCAACGATGGCCATTTCCTCAATACCATCAGGAAACTTGGCAGTGGATTAGGCAGCCATGCAGCAAAAGGCAGGAGGTCTTACACCTTTGATTGCAGAGCTTCTGGCCTCCTTTACGGACCTCGTGCTGACTCATGAACTTTCTAAGGATGTAATTTCCCACCTTGCCTGCTATTAATTCTGCTCCTTCCATAACAAGAGGAAGGATGTAAGCCCAGAACCAGAGCTAACTGCCTCCCATGCCATAACAGAAAGGCTCAGGCTAGACCCGTTTTACATACTGGTTTGTCACCTTGACTGCCTAATCTAAGAACAGCCTAAGGATAAGAACTGAAATGACTGTTATCCTAGGCTCCAGAAGCCTCCTTGGTAGGGGCTGGATGCTCAATGCAAGGCCCAAGAAACACACTCCTAACCTGGCCCACCCTGTGAGAACAGAGTTGATTTTTTTCGCTCCTTGCCTGCACTGGTGCAGCAGGTATGGCCAACTTGGGGATTCTGGAGTGCCTGCCCAGCCACCTCCGACCAGGACATGAACACATTCAGACTGCCTGACTCTCGGTGCAAAGGGCGCTGCTGCCGAGGACTCGGTACATTGTTTCGCTCTCCATTCAAACAACTGCAACGTGTCAGCCCTGCTGGCCTCCTTGATTGTGCAGAAATAAATAAATGAATTATGTTGTTGGGGTTTGGGCTTCAGCACCAACACATGGTCTGCATTTATCCACACAGTGAGAGGTCCACCAGCCACTTGATATAAAAGAGCAAAATGATAATTCTTTTCTTTAGGCACTCTCTTGCCATATGGAATATATATAAATCATATTTTTGTTTTAACAGCAGAGGCTTTGTTGATAGATAAACATGTGGTTTATCTAAAAAAAAGAGGGGATTGTGCTTTGAACAATCATTTAATGGCCATGGATGTGCCAAATAAAAATAAAAACATAATTTTGAAAAAAGCTGGCTTCATGCCCAAATCCGTAACAAGGAATTTCTCCTTAACCCAAGTGGTTAGAGTCCGTCGATCTGTTTTGAGTTTAAGCTGTGCTCTCTACTCAACCCCACGACAAATGGAATCCTGAGTTAATGTGCTCTAATAAGACGAGACATTACCTTTATGAATGACCTCATAGAGAAGAGGTTGGCAAGCATGGTGGAGAGGCCTTGAGCCAGGCAGCTCTGGGCTATGAAGCCCAACTTCAGCTCTGCGAGGCAGATTGCATCATCACCTTCCTTCCAATTCCAGCTCGGGATGTTTAGCAGATGGGCCTGGGGAAACAAAAGCAGGTATGAGACCTTGCTCTGTTAAATGTTCAACTGTTGAAAATTTCTTCTGGGATAGGCAGCATTGCCCAACCATGCAGGGCCATTCAGACTCGCCCTTCTTTTCCCTTGCTGGGGCCTGATGTTTGCTGTTTTATGCAACTCTTCTGCTCATCACACTTCAGTCTCTCTGGATTGTTGTCTCTGTACCTACTAAGCTTAAGTCTTCCCCTGGTTTTGTCATTTGGCCAAAGAGAGCCCAGAGGGAATTTCCCCTTGTAACAGATACATCAGCCCAGGTTACTAAGGTGTCTAGCTAAATTGCTGGGTTGAGTCCTCAAATGGACCATAAGATTGCCAAATGCCTGTATATTTTCTGTTTGTTTTTTTTTTTTTTACCTGCCTTTCCAATCCTCCAGATAAGGGACTCCCAGGCATTAGGAGCAGGCACCAGAATCACCTATACAGTTTGTGAAAACACAGATTGCTGACCACTCAATCCCCACTGCTGGCCTTTCTGATCCAGTAGTCTGGGGTAAGGCTGGAGAATCTGGCATTTCTAACATGTTGGAGGTGATGCTAAGGCTGCTGATCTAGGGGCTGCACCTTGAGAACCACTACCCTAAAACATCAGGTAAATCACAATGTTGACGTTTCCAATGTCTTGCAAATGGACTGGTCCTATTCAACCCTTCTCAGGCCCTGAGACAAGGACCCAGAGGCATGCTCATCCAATTATTTTTAAGTGGCATGAAGCAGAGAGTCATAGAAAATACATTGGATGAAAGAATCAAAGTTCAAAAGGTTCTCCAGAGTTGGAAAAATCGGCAAAAGACCAAAGTAAAAAGATTTACAAGGCTTTCATGTCAAGTACAGCATTTAGGTTAAAACAAATCAACTTTATAAATTCAAAATGAGGAGAAGACCTAGTTTGGCAGCAGGCAGGAGAGAAATAAAACAAAACAAAACAAAACGTAAAAGCTAAATTTAAGTGTGTGGGTAACTAAAACCTCAAATTTTAGGCCAGCCATGTGAAATTACAGAGAATGCCAGTGTTTACTTGTTAGAAATGCTCTCCAGATCAAGGGAAATGAACATTTCATTCTGTCGTAAACTGGTCAGACTAGTTCCAGAGTACTTGATCCAGTTTTCAGTCAGATTTAAAGAGGGAAAATGATCATTTGAATAACTTCCAGAGAAAAGTGACAAAGACAAGAAGACATAGCATCTGGAAAAGATCTTTTGAGGAACAGCTAAGAGAGCCAGTAATATTTGGCCTAAAGAAGGCTCATGTCCTCACAGAGACAGGATGGTTACATATGAATACTTCAGGTACTGCTGTGTCCAAGATTAGGTTTGTCCTGCTTTGTTCTAGAAGCCAGAATTAAGACTGGCATATATTCCAAAAGAGCAGATTTTTGTCTTGTTTTATAAATGAACTTCCTAAGGATATAATTTGTCTACCAAATGGAGAGGGTTACCTTAACAATTGCAAGGTCTTTGTCCCTAAGATCCAGTATCTCTCCAAGTTACTATGGAAAGAACGTTTGCTCTGTACTAGGAGGTGGAATGAGAGAGCTCATCTAATTCTCTGCTAATCCCAAGGCTCTATGGCTTTGAAATTATTACTTCTCTGCACATCTCAGCAAACACAAGGGAGCCTTCCCTTCACTTTCAGAAAACATACAATAGTTGAACTAGAAGGATGGAAGACTCCACTGTGAAAACAAAGAGCAAATCCAAGCGCTCCACACTCTGCTTTCAAAAATACTACTTTTGTGAAATTCCTTCTTGCAAAATCCACTTCTATGACAATGTTGTGCATCCTAAGCCAAAAGGGTTACCCCAGGGAGAGATGACTGTGCCCTCTCTGATGATAGCATGGTTAAAAATAGTCTCATGGAGAAGCCACAGCAAGTAGTAATTGCCATCAAGCTATCAAAGGACCTTCCCCACATTGCAGACTCAGTTCCAACAACTAGCCCTTCCCTTTATCCCTTCCTCTCCCTACTCTCCACTGGCTTCAGATGGCCACTTTCCCTTTTATTTCCCAGGCACTGTAGAGAGCACATCGGTTTAATGGGAGAAATACTCATTTGTAGTAATATCATCTGAGAATCTGGGAATAATGAGGAGAAATTTAAGTTTTTGTAATGAGCAAGTCAAGCATTGTGTGTGAAAGGAGATTTTTTTTTTGGTCCAAGCCCTAAAAAGACACCTCTGAGTCTTCATGGTACCTTCAAACAAGCAAGCAAAATCTTTCAAAGAAAGTCTCTTCTATCACCATGTGCTATCTAGGATATGAGGCCCAGGCATTACATCCTTGGGTCCCATGTGGCACTATCTGGCTTAAGTTCTGTAGGTACATTTTGAGCTTTCTTTCTCACTGTCCACCTTGACACTTGGGCATGTGATTACAAAGAAAAGTTGAATTTGGAGCCGGGTGTGGTGGCTCATGCCTGTAATCCCAACACTTTGGGAGGCTGAGGCGGGCAGATCATGAGGTCAAAAGATCGAGACCATCCTGGCCAACATGGTGAAACCCCATCTCTAAAAATATAAATATTAGCTGGGCGTGGTGATGCACATCTGTAGTCCCAGCTACTTGGGAGGCTGAAGCAGGAGAATCACCTGAACCTGGGAGGTGGAGGTTGCAGTGAACCAAGATCATGCCACTGCACTTCAGCTTGGGGATAGAGCAAGACTCCATCTCAAAACAAAAAAAAAAAAAAAAAGAAAAGGAAAGTTGGGTTTGTTCCATATCTCAGGCTTCTGGTCCTCCTTTTTTAGACATTATATTTTCTCCAACACAGGAAGGAGTGAGGGTGACTTGCTGAATGCGGGGAGGGAAATCTCTGTGCATGAAACAAAGAGAGGAGACTGACCCAGGAACGCAAATCCTTTGTTTCTGGCAACTTCATTATTTTCCATTTGAAGTAATCTGAGTCTGGTGAAAAATGCCAGTGTAAGTGCCCAGAAGTCTGGAGGCAAATCCTCTCTCCCTAACATGGAGAATATAAAGAGCAGATCTGGCAGATCTGGCTGCCCTTCATTTCTGCTACTTCACCACCCCTCCCTCATCTCATGGAGACGCAACGTGGAAACAGGCTGTCCTGAGAAACCAGGAGAGATGAATTCCAGTCCCAGTTCTATCTCTCACTACATACAATTTGTGGAAGCCACCTTGAGGAACAAAGGTGGCCATGAAAAAGGAAATGCTTTAATACGACTGCCCCAGTGTCAGGGTGGACAGGGAGAAAGCAGGTTCACAGAACTTGCCTCTGTCTGCACTGGGCTCATGGGACTTGGCTTCCAGAGATAAAGGCCTCTTTCACTAGAGTCTTCTGGAAAAATTAAAAAATCCACTGATAGGTAAATCATCAGGAGTGACCTTCCTAAGAAGTTATAAACCAATCTTTCCTTCAAGAGCTTCGAGGCATTTACACTCAAATCAGAAGATGCCCTGCATTATCTTTCTTCTGTGTTCAAAGATGGCCAGCATGAAAGTATTTCTCTCCAAGGAGTCTAGTCATATTAAAAGGTACACTTTGGAGAGCATCAGCCCTTCTATAAGGCCTACTCTAGGGAACCACAGTTTGGTTCAATGGGCTGTAGCTCCATTTAAAGAGTCGGTGGCAGTCAGCTGTTCTGTCTCCCCACTCGCTGGCTGCAGAGTGGTGGCCGTGATTTGTGCCCAGCAGAGTTGCACTGTCTGTCAGAGCTTAGACACCCTGCTCTAAGTTACCCTGGGATGCTAAAATGCACAGATGGTCCAATGAGTACTAAAGAAGATAATGGATGTCAAAGCTCTCTTTTAAAACCATAAAATAAGACACAAATGTCTACAATTATGATGATGACAAACTCAGGGCCAGTTTTACATGGAGAGGAAGTAGGCAGCTTCCCTATATCCCTCTAGGCCCTAGAAAATTCCTATTACTAGATCATAGGGGACTGAAATGCTTCATATTTCAAGCCTGTTGTCCAATTATAAAATCAAATATCTCTTGGAATATGTTCCTATAGTGACCTAACTCCACAGGCACATACCAGATCCTTTCCCAAAAGCAAGCTGTAATGCATGGAGATCTCTAAGCATCTAGGATTCTAGGATGGGTACAGCAAAAGGTGCCAAGAGAGAAAGAAAAAAAAATATTGAAAGGGAAGTGGAAGAAAACATATTGAAAGAGTAGGAAGCATCTCAGGAAACAGAGCAAAACTGTGAAGCAGGGTGAAGAATGCCTATTTGCAATTCTACAAGGAATGAAAGATAAAAAATGATGAGTCGATGTTTTGTTCTTTCTCTAGAAGAGATAAATAAAAGGACAAAAAAGAAAATGTCCCGTGTCAAAGTCACTCCATTCCTTGTGTCCTTACCAATCATCTGAGGATCTGTGATTATGCCCAACTCTAAAACTCGAATAGTTTGGGATGGTTCTAAACAAAATGTGTTCTAAGCAAATAATCATGAATTGGTTGATATCTTTCTCATCGTTTCTGAATAATTACAATGCAGAGGTTTGCCAAAGACATGCAGGTTGCTATGATCATGTGATTACTGACCAGGGACTGTCTGAAATCCTAGGGCAGTTGAGGTACTTTGAGTTTGAAAAGAACTGCAGTACTAAAATCCTCCTTAATTTCTTGAAGATGCCGCATCAGCACTCATTGGAAAGAGAAAAAAAGGAACTGACAGCCCCTTCTAAACATACAACATTAATTTTCCTATTCAGTCTAAATTCAGCCAAAATTCTAAACAACAGCTTATAGCACTCCCACACTAAATGAAATTTCAGATCACAAATGAAAGGAGAGCGCCTTACTGCAGGAGCTGTCACCAGTCACAACCTTGCTAATAAAATTCACCTCCACCTACGAGGACTGCCGTCAAAAACTTCTCCAGCTTGACGCCTGTGCATTACTGGTATCCTCACTTTATCTCTTCAGTGATGTGAATGTGACCTTGGGTTCCCACCACCAAATCCACTGGCTGGAGAATAACATGTTCTGCAAGGGAGCCACCTGCTGAGGGCTGGGCAGTGGTTGGCAGCAGGCAGGCATTCCGGGTGGTGGGCCAGTCACTGACAGCAGGCTCCACTCAGTGACAGCCTCTGATGGGCCTCCACACAGCAAAATGGGCTAGCACTTGCCAGCAATTAAGAAATAACGGCATGGTGCTGGTGCATTTGGCAGAACGAGGTTTTCTCTGGGTCACCTGGCTGCCTATTTCGTAGGGAATATGGCTCATAAGAGGGGGTACGCTGTCACTCCTAACCCAGCAGGGAGTTATTCTGTGCAGACAGGACACCTGGCTCCAGGTACTGGGCAGTCTCTGGTTTCTAGGCTTCATTAAGGACATAACTGGTACCGGGTGCCACCTTCCCTCCCCTAAAGCTGTTTTCTTGGAAGTTTACTGACTGGCCGAGAGAAGGAGCACTGCCTTTGAATGAGAGACTGGACTCTGGTTTACTGAGAAGTAATCAAACGGAAACAGCATAGACTCTGACATTTGTCTTCTTTCCAATCAATCCCCCAATGTAAGCTATAACACAAGGAAAATTCCTTTCTGTTTAATCTCTGGATAGCTTACTAATTTCCTGATTCAACTCTGTAAATTCTCATCTTGACTCTGGGAATGTGTTCCACATTACACTCTTACAGAGCGCATTATGCACTCACCTGCTCATCTGGTCTCAAATAGAGAAATCTTATTATTGCTCACTTGCTTGGAGCATTCTACACCTTAACGGCTAAAACCCCGAAGACACAAAATAGGGCTTTTCCTTCACTGATATTCCTGCCGGTGTCAGGGAGAGTGATAATCACATAGTAGGTATTCAATAAATAATTACCAAATAAATACATGACTACAGCACATAAAAATGAAAGTTGTTGTAATTTAAGTATGGATGGGATCTAACAGTACATCAGTAGTTCTGAACCTCGGGTTCCAATAGACACTTCCTGAATGAATCAGTACAAGTAGGAGCATCCTTCCAGTGACCAAATGCAAACATGTTGTTTGAACTAAAGAAATGTCCCAGGGAGATTTTTAACTATCACACCTCTTTACCCAGGTCTTTGAGATGCACAAATGTGGGCAGGTGAGTGTGTGTGTGTGTGTGTGTGAGAGAGACTGTATAATGAGAAAGAAGAGGCAGGACCTGTGGATGTGTCTTCAGACCTGGAGCGGGCTCTCACATTCCTACCTTGTTGTGATACTGCAGCATTTGAGTGATGATTCTTATCTTCGGATGGTAGTTCTTTATGGAGATTACTCTGAAAAAGAAAGAACCAGCGCTGAGACTGGTCTGCCTTATGCATGGTGTCTGACCAAAAGATCAATTTGATTGTCTTCAAATGGGGTACCCATGGGACTGAGGTAGGAGGCAGGACTTGATTCCAGGGGAAGGGCTCAGATACTACACACAATTGAGGACTAGATGAAACGGGGATGGACCAGAAGCAACCTTCCATTGGACATGCCCAGCACAGTGTGGTTTATCAGTTTCCCATTGCCATGGCCACAACTGGGAGCTTCTCTGTATCCTCTAGGCCCAGAACCTTACTATTACTAGATCTTAGGGGATTGAAATGTTTCATATTTCAAGCCTGTTGTCCAATTATGAAATCAACTATCTCTTGGAATATGTTCATAGTGACCTAAGTTTACAGGCACACACTAGGTCCTTTCCTGAAAGCAATTGTAATGCATGGATGAATTCCAGTCCCAGTTCCATCTCTCACTTCATACAATTTTGGGGAGGCACCATGAGGAAAAAAGGACATGAAAGAGGAAGCACTTTAGTATGATTGATACCCAGGTGTCAGAGTAGGCAGTGAGAAAGAAAGCTCAAGAACTTGCCTCTATCTGCACTGGGCTCATGGGACTTGCCTTTCTATGGCAATGACCCAATGACTGAGAAGTTACTATCTCTTCCCTAGAAATTTCTGCATAAACTGTCCCTTAATCTGCATGCAATTAAAAGTAGGTATAAATATGACAGCAAAACTGCCCAGAGCTGCTACTCTGCCTACAGTGTAGCCCTGCTCTGCAGGAGCAGTCATGGAGCTGTAATACTGCTGCTTCAATAAAGCTGTTTCTGTCTGCCCTACCACCAGCCTGCCCTTGAATTCTTTCCTGGAGGAAGCTAAAAACCCTCATGGGCTAAGCCCCAATATGGGGCTCACCTGTCCTGCATCAGGACCAGCAGCCAGGGCTATCCTGAGGAGTTGCAGACACTGAGTTAAGCAGCATTCCCACCGTACCTCTTGGTAGTGTGAAAATCAAATCATAAAACAGCCACAATCTGTGTCCTGGGCATGAAAAATTTGAGGGCCCCCTGGGATGTACTGGGGATAGAATGTTTGCAAGTGTGTACTGACTGGGGAATGGGAGGCCTGGAGCAGGGGCTGCCAGCTTATTGCCTATGCAGACATTGAAAGCAATCCCAAATCATGGGGCCTCCAGAGGTTTGCAATCTCCCACACCCCAGGGACCAGTTCAGAAACAATCTGCTGAGTCCAATTCTCCAAGTCAACAACGTGAGACAGCGATGACCAATCAAACAAGCAGGATGACAAACACTAATTGTGACACATGCTTGTCCACTATCATAAAATATGATTTCTAAGCAGGACTCTTAGGATGAGATCAAGGACTCAGCCTTCCACAGCTAAGAGAGAAAATGATGACTTAAACTCCGGTTAATAGTACGTGCCAAGGCATTGTGGGGGTCACAGATCGTGGTGGAAAATTGTTTCCTACCGGCCCTCAGTCCAAACTCAGTGATAGGCATGGCCTGCACCCACCCCAGCCCTCACGTATCCTCCCCACATCAATCATGGTGCTAAAGGGAGTGGCAGAGTGCAGATGAATGGAAACACCTGGGTTCCAGTCACAGCTATTGTACTAATGAACTGCTCGACCTTTAGGAGAACCCTGGGCTCTCTGTTCCCGTTTCCTCATCTGGACACTCGGAGCAACAGTACCTGTTTTATTTACTTCACAGGCTTGGTATGAGCGGCAAATGGGAGACCAGATGTGAAAATGCTTTGAAATCATTAAAAGTTCTCTCCACGTGTAAGTTATGGTTTTTGTCATTACCAAGTCTGTCAGAAGTGACATTGTACATTTCCTTCTGTGACAAGGAGAGCTAAAGAATGGAATTCCACAGAAAGGCCCACCTCCTAAGCCTAATCAGAAATGCAAGTGCATTTATTATGACCGCCCGCACAAACTTCCCACCCAGCAGCGCCCCCCTTCCCCACCCCTTTTAGTGCAGACATGGAGAGAAGGCAGCCAGGGAGCAGCTTTATCTGAAAAGCTGCAACTTGTGAATGTAGGAAATGGATCACGTGAAAGCCTCTCCCAGCACAAATTCACCCTGGGTTTTTGCACTTGAAGGATTTCATTTTATTTTTGAAAAAGTGTTGTGTTGGCCCATGCTTATAACTCAAGGACTTTGAGCCTCTGTCCACCCCGCCTTGCAGTTCACAGCTTCAGCCAGTTTTCTGCATTAGCTCATTTCAAATGGATCTTTGACATTTTAATTTCAAAGGAGGCAGATTGGTCTCATTAAACTGAGGAGGAAGGAGGATTATACAAATAAGAGAAAGACAAAGCCCATTTTTAACCCTGAACTTCCCACTTCTTTTTGCTGCCAGGGCCTCATTCTGGCTCTACTTAATTATATTTCTGATACTACCTTTGACCAGTAATTTCTATGCCTCCTTATCCTGCCAATCACCCTGGTACCTGTTATGATTTAAATAAAATACTGCAATTAAGAGAAACACCCATTTCAAAGCTATTACTCAGGTAGCCCCAAACATCTCTGTGGGGTCAAAACATTAAGTTTCGTTTTCCTTTGGTTTTCCATTCGTGTAGGGGGTAGACCCCATAAGTGCCAAGGCAGGAGCCCAAAGCCTCAGCCTATGTCCATAGAAATAATGAATAAGAAAGTAACTAGAAATATAACCGTAGTAGTTATTAGTTATTCATAGGTGATCTTAATTCTTTTTTTTTTTTTTTTCTTGAGACAGTTTTGCTCTTGTTACCCAGGCTGGAGTGCAATGGCACAATCTCTGCTCACCGCAACCTCCGCCTCCTGGGTTCAGGCAATTCTCCTGCCTCAGCCTCCTGAGTAGCTGGGACCACAGGCACGCACCATCATGCCCAGCTAATTTTTTGTATTTTTAGTAGAGTCGGGGTTTCACCATGTTGACCAGGATGGTCTTGATCTCTTGACCTCATGATCCACCCACCTCGGCCTCCCAAAGTGCTGGGATTACAGGCTTGAGCCACCGCGCCCAGCCTGTAATTCTTTTACTAATACCTCTGAAGTCAGAAGTGTGAACCTGGGCGACACTGTGAAAGGAATCAACCTAAGGCAAGACGTTTTAAGCCCTGTCACTGTGTAAGTGCTGCTGGAGGGCACCTCGGCTGTGCGGCAGTGCCAGCGTTGGGAAAGCCCCCGCCGTTTAGCCAGCTAGGGAAGGAGAGGTCCAAGATGGCCAAGACGTCCCCCTCCCCAGAGGAGTTAGGAGAAAACTCCGCTCCTCCAAGCTCTTGCGGTAGGCCTGATGGCTGTCAGGCAGGCCCACAGACATCGGGAGGCGTAACCGTCTCTGTGTGATGCTGTGGGGCTTCAGGGGTCACGTTCCATGTCTACTCTCATGTTCCGCTTCTGCACCTGGGTCCCTTTTTCTTAGAAGAGATAATCAGTAAAAGTAACATAAATCTTAATGTCTTTTTTCTTTCTTGACAAGTATGGAAAAAGTACTGACGCATTATGCTCCTTACCTCATTTCCTCTACCTGAAAGTCCTGGGCCCCTACCTATATGACACGTGATGTATTTGACCTTATCACTGACTACCAATGCCACACCCTACCTACCCTGCCCTAGTTTTGTACTCATTAAAAGAGTGTTCAGGCACTCAGGGCCACTGCCGGACTTCAGGCAGGCTTCAGCTGGCAGCGGACTGGGCCCAAACTCTCTTTTCTCTATCTCTGTGTCTTATGTCTTTTATTTCTAGTTTCTCATCTCCTTACCAACAGAAAGGGGCTCACAGGACCCTGTAGAGCTGGACTCTATAATTGGGAATTCTGAAGAGAGTGAAGCCAGGTTCCTTAAAGAGTTACTTTTAAAAAAAAAAATCATTTCTAATGACAGAAAACGTGTCAAAAGTTGAAGATCCTTCTTACTGCAAAGAAAGGAACAAGTGACACACCCAAACCTGAGGCTGGTAGAGCCACCATGCAGCTGCAACTGATTAGGGCATGGGCCCAGGTGTGAAGCCAGATTCTGTTCCACCCTCTTTCCGCAGCCTGGCAAGCCCAATGCTTAGAAGAGTTGATGCATCAACTTCCTTAAAATGACCTCACTAAGCGTATTGCCAAAGCAAAGTGAGTGGCAAGAGATGATGGTGCCAGATGTTCCTGCCAGACACAAGGACCAGAGGCTTAGGGGAGGACTGGCTCTGAAATGCACTGGAGGAATTCCCCCACCTCGCTGATGGGGAAGCTCCTGTCACTTGGGGCCACTGATGAAAAGCAAAGACAAAGGAGGTGCCAACATTGTCATGACACAAGGGTAACTTCCTGACCTTCAACCTCAGGTAAGTTCCCAGGAGGCATTAAACCAAGCTGCAGGGAAAGGGGAACCTTACCCTGAAAGAGGCTGTTCACAGTTAGGCAAGAGTTCCTGGGAGTGCAGTGAGACTGAAATCTCCCTGAATTTAGTTCATCTCTCCAGAAGCTTCCCTTGATCATTTTCTCTCAACCCTCTTAACTCATCTGCAATTATGATAGAGAAAAGACAAATTCCAAAGGGCCTCTAACTACCTGGAGCGAAATGCCTTGACTTTTTAGTCATTTCACTGTCACATGCCATGACTATGGCTTTATTGCAAGGAACAAAAACTGAACAATTGCTTTTTTCTGAATTAAGAAAAGAATAAAGTGTTGAAGTTGGGGCCAAGATGAGCAGTTGACAGGCCTACCCCATGTGCACGAAAAGCTCTGTGCTGTGTTTCCCAGCGTAACCTCCTCTAGAAGATGTTCTGGAAAAAAAAAAAAGCGGGGGCAGGGAGAGGGCAGTGCAGGGCCACAGTGATGCACTCCTGTAATCTCAGAGTTTTGGGATGCCCAGGTGGGAGGATCATTTGAGGTTAGGAGTTCATCGAGACCAGTCTGGGGAACACAGCAAGACTCTGTCCCTACTAAAAAAAAAATTAAACTTGGCCGTGTATGGTGGTACATTCCTGTAGTCCCAGCTACTCAGGAGGCTGAGGTGAGAGGATCACTTGGGCTCAGGAGTTCAAGGTTACAATAAGCCATGATTGCATCCCTGCACTCCAGCCTGGGTGATGGTGCGACAAAAAAGAAGAAGAAGAAGAAAAACCAGGGAGGAGGTGGGAGAGGAGCGGAGGCTTGTAGTCAAATAGATTTGGAAAGTGTTCTATAGTACATTATCTCAGAGATTCACATTAGTATTAAAAGCACTGAAAAGGCTTTTAAGAAAGAACATTAATTTTGGGAAACTGGATGAAACAGCCTAACTGGTCACTAAACTCCTCTTTGGGGTGATAGGAATCAATATGCCATAGACACACTTGGAAAGCCCTAATAAGGGTTTTGTCAGCCTTGACACTATTAACATTCTAGGCCAGACAATTCTCTGTTGTGGGGGCTGTGCTGTGCATTGCAAGCTGGTTAGCAGTGTCCCTGAGCTCTACGCACCAGATGCCAGCAGCACCAGATGTTATGACAACCAAAAATATCTCCAGACAATGCAAAATGTCATCTGGGGCATCTGCCTTTAGTTAAGATATCTCAGGCCCACTTACCTTAGGGAACATGGTACCTTAATTCAGGCCAGCATCCATCTCAATCTATTTCCTAGTTCTGTCTCAAGGAATCTCAAACCCAAGGCCAGCTGTAAGCCCTGGAGCTGCCACCTGCTAAGGGTGAGCTTCCTGTTGGCAACACCCTGTGTGCCACTGCCTCAAACCACACACAGCCTCGGATCCCCTGGGCCTCTGCAGGTGGCGAGTTGTGGGGTGGCTTGTGGGGCAAAAAGGCCTCACAGAGAGAGTCCTCGGCAGAAGACCCAAAAGGGCTATGAATGGCCACAGACCACCAAGCCCAGGGCCTTCCCCAACACCCCAAGACTTACCTCATGATGTTCGAGGCGTCCTCCGCATCCGGGTCAGCGCAGTATTTGTTGGCAAGGATCAGGCACGCATCTGCTGACTCTATCTAAGACACCGAAAGGAACAATCACAGAACACAAACATATAAATAGCCACGCTCAACTGTAGTCTCTCTCTTTTGACAGCTCTTGGGGAAGCTGGTGCTTTGCAAGGGGAGAAAAAAAAAAAAAAAACAATCCTGAGAGCCTGAGAGATTATAGTTTTTGTCAAAAGTGTAGGCTGCAAGTTCTTGTTATGGTATAAACATTTCATCTTGTTGCTGTTGGAAGGTACAACATGTACCTTGGTAATTATACTTTTCATGTGGCATCATTGCTTACGTGTAGGATTTGCAGATTTCTTTAAATAACAATTAATTAAGCCTTTCATTCTCCTCCCCACCTCCTTTCCAAACCATCTGCACCATCATCCTAATTATTCCCATCAGGAATTGGAGGTGGGTGGGTTAAACCCCTTCTCTCCGGTTAGCAAGTTAACTGAGTATTGGGGATTCAGAAATGTACACTCTGAAATCCTTCATCTGACCTTTTTCATATCTTCATTTTCTATGGACTGAAAGGAGATCAGGGTTCTAAATCAGATAATATCACCATATTGCTTAGTATTCAATTAGTATTTAGATATTCAAAAGACAACAAATCTATGTATGAAATGATGTGTTACAGATGAACTCGAAATACACCTACTGACTTATCCAAACACGAATCCGCCAGGGTTTATTCCTTAGAGGGGACCATGAGTTTGATGTGCTAATAATTGCTTGCATTTAAATTAGGTCCACGAACAATAACAATTGTCCCTAAGTTCTCATAAGATTTCACATAAGCTATAACTTGGGTTATGTCTGGATAATGTTAAGATTAACCAGACTCTGTAAGCATAAGAAACCTTATGCTGGCTCAGGTCTGCACTCTGCCCTACCTGGTATGCTGTGCTTAACAGATCATTCCTGGATTTTGAGTGAGGGCATAATATCCTCCACGGTATGTCACAAACTGTCTCTGATTTCTTTAATGATGCAAAGAATTTATCAAAATCCTTTTGGATTACTCATCTTGGCCAATTATAGTATTTACAGAATTCTGTGGTGCTTGCAGCATTTAGACTTCAGTGTGGATTCACAATATTAATTTACACTCACTGGCATACGAATACTGAACATGCTACAAAATCTATATTACATAGGTGAAGTAGCAGATGCCATTTTGCCTTGTACCTGTCCCTTCTAAGCCTCAGGTGTGCTTTATGAGAAGATTCCAACTTACCAGGTTCTGGAAAAAAAGATTCGCCCATTATCAATGATATCAGATAACTGTATATTTAGATTTACACCCTGAGGCTTAGATTGGGGAAAAAAGAAAGCTCAAATGTTTTATAACTTAGTAAAATTTCATTTTATACTTTAGCTTAATGTTTCTTTCAAATGTAAATAATAGATGTCAGAGCTATATTGAGTCCAACTTGAGTGTTCAATATGGGAATTACTTGATTATTATGTTGTATAAAGACTACTGGGTCCATACAACCGGTCTGTTTCCTTGAGGAGTAGCTGATATTGAGGAAACCAGCAAAGTAAGTTTCATGTATGACCAGTCCAAGTGTGGTATGCTTAAAGGTAGTCTTGCATATCCCAGCAGAAGGAGGTCCCATGACCAGTGGAAGGGTGACATCAAGCTTGCTGGTATCTGATTAATCTCATTAGGGGTTTAGGATATGACTCGTGGCCATCCCAGAAGGTGTGTTCCCTCACTACAGAGTCAGGAATCCTCCCCACCGACCCCCACCAAGATGCAATTAAAGCAGAAGTCACCTCTTCTTCCTTACCTTGACTCTTGCAAGGTCATGTGGATTGAGGACCGAACCCTGATAAAATTCCACCTGAGTAAAATGTCGTTTGAACAGAGCTTCAAGCTCCAGGTTGGGGGAGATGCTACACAGGAAGAGAAGAAGCCACTATTAATATAATGAACCCGGGGGTTTTGGCCTCCATTCGTTCCTTCCTCTAATTTCCACAGGAAGCCCTGGGGAGAGGCTGTGACCTCCAAAGTCGCCCTTTTGCTTGCCATAAAGAAAAGACTCACCCTCAAGGGAAGTAAAACCCCAGCCCAACTGAAAACCAAACTAGTACCATGGTAAAAGAAAGAGGTTCTTCGGCTTTAGGAAAGCTAAGACCTCAGGGCAAAATGTCTTGTCTTCAGTATAAATTGAATTCCTATCTTATAAATAGGGAAGCTGAGTTGTGCCACTAGTGGGCTGGTTCATTTTATGTGTACTGTGCCTCAGGATGCCCACAACCAACGTGATTTCTGGGTGTGTCTGGGAGTATCTCTGGATGAGACTGGCATTTGAATCCATGAATTCAGTAGACTGCCCTTCTCTGTGGGAGTGGGCATCATCCAGTCCTTTGAGGGTCTGAAGAGAACAATAGCGCAGAGGACAAAGGCATTTGTCCCTTTTGCTTCTTGCCTGCCGGCTTGAGCTGGGCATCTCTTGTCATTCTCCTACCCTTGGACTGGGGTTGACATTGGCTCTATGACTCTCTGGCCTTCAGACTCAAACTGAATTACACCACCAGCTTTCCTGGGTCTCCAGCTTGCCAGTGGCAGACCGTGGGACTTCCCAGTCTCTGTATTTAAGTGAGCCAATTCTTCTCAATAAATCTCTCTAGAGATAGATAGATAGATAGATAGATAGATAGATAGATAGATACAGATATAGACAGATACAGATATAGATAGATCAATATATAGATAGCTATATATATCTGTATTAGATATATTGATACATAGATCTATCATATATATATATAAAAGAAAGAGGTTCTTTTATATATAAAGAAAAAGGTTTATATATATATATATATATATATATATATATATATATATAAATTCTATTAACTCTTTCATTGGAGAACCCTGACTAATACAATCAAGGATTAGCCGAAGACTCTCCTGGGAGAGCCATCCTGCTATTCCCTCCAGCATGAACCTTTCTGCTCTGTGCTGCATGGACTTCTCATTCCCCAAGGCCTGGATCAGAAAGTGTCACTCTGAGCAGCCACTGACAGACTTAATTTACTCTCCGTACTCTTCTTAATTCACATGCATGTATGTGACTCATCACTCTTGGTGCCGAGCTGTACTGACGCCTTTCTCTTTGGAGGACAAGGATTAAACAATAGACCTACTTATTCATTTGTTAATTGTGCAGAGATGAAAAAGACTGTCTATAACGTACAGTGCTAGGCACTGGGCGATGATATTTAGTTAGAACTTACTATATGCCACGGACTGTGCTAAGTCAAGATTTGCCTAACATTTGTGAAGTCCATAATAAGAATAAGAATAATAATGTTTTCTAACATTTACTATATGGCAGACATTTAAATAATAGTAAAATAGAATTATACATAATGAGTAAAATAAATAATATTTATTTTATTTTATTGAGACAGAGTCTGTCTCTGTCACACAGGCTGGAGTGCAGGGGCAGAAACTCAGCTCACTGCAACCACTCAGGTTCAAGCAATTTTCATGCCTCAGCCTCTGGAGTAGCTGGGATTATAGGCATGTGCCACCACTCCTGGCTAATTTTTGTATTTTTAATAGAGATAGGGTTTTGCCATGTTGGCCAGCCTGGTTTTGAACTCCTGGCCTCAAGTGATCCACTCACCTTGGCCTCCCAAAGTGCTGGGATTACAGGTGTGAGCCACCATGTCTGGACTCGATGACTAGTAATTCGGTTAAATCTCAAAACAACATTATAGGAAGGCCCGGAGATTCAAGAGGTTAATTAATTAACTGACTACGTACTATAAAGCTGACATTGATAGATGTTAGGGACACAAAGGTGAATCTTAGCAATAGAAGCATTAGCAGCCAGCTTTTTTTTTTTTCTTTGAGACAGGGGCTGGAGTGCAGTGGTGCAATCTTGACTCACTGCAGCCTCTGCTTCTCAGGCTCAAGCTGTCCTCCCACCATGAGTAACTAGGACTACAGGCACGTGCCACCGTGACTGGTTAGTTTTTATATTTTTTGTACAGATGGGGTCTCACTGTGTTGCCCAAGCTGGTCTTGAACTCCTGAGCTCAAGTGATCCGCCCACCTTGGCCTCCCAAAGTGCTGGGATTACAGGCATGAGCAACCATGCCCGACCAGCTTGTTTATTCCAACTAAAGGAGTGGATGAAAGAAAAGTGGCTGCCTATGTGAATCTGAGCAGTCTTTCAGACCCATGACAAGTCACATCTTTTTTAGAAGCCTGCCTGGTAATGCCACAGACTAATGCTCTTTGAAAGAGATGTCCCCAGTCACTTCTGCCACCTGATCAAAATGACTTAAGCATTCCTTGGATAACACAGGGTTGATGTTGTCTCTAATAATTACATGTGTGTTCATCCTGAAATGCCCAACCCATGAGGGGGCCCCGCCCACACATTATACCTCTCCTGAACTTTCCAAAATGCTCAGCCGAGGAGGGGCCACACAGAGGGTAATTGGTGGTTAAGCACTGAATGGAACCTGTGGGTACTTGCTCCTGTGCTACCATAGCCTGGTCTGCCTTTTCAAAGTTGGGAGAAATCAATGCAGAAAAGAAAAATGCTAGTGCCCCAACATGGTGACAAGTCAGAAGTCTAGCATTCTGTGAGCAAATGCCAGAGGATGGTGATCCACAAAACAGGGAGTTTATAGGGAAGCTGAGTTCAGTGACCCTCAGAGTAGGGCTGAGTGCTGAGTTGTCAACAGCATGTCGAGCCAACACAAACATGGAGCTTTGTCCTGAATTTTTGCAATGTGGTGCCAGGACTAGCTCCATCTCCATAAAACAAGACGACCATGGTACCATACATGCCACCATAGTGGAGCCCCCTAATTCTCTCCATTCCTGGGGCAGACTACCTTTTACCTAAAAAGAGGATTAGGCAAAGCTGAAAACCTCAACACTGGGTAGAAGGGAGACACCTTGCTTTCCTCCCCTGTAAAACACACAAGATAAGACCTACCTCCTAAGTGGATTATACAGCCAAATATATTTATTTTTCATGCTAATAGCTAACACTTATTGAAGCCCTGACTCTGCTCTGCACACTTCATATGGAATACTTCACTTCATTTTCACCACAGCCCAACTAGGTAGAAACTGCCATCATCTCCATGATTTATGGATGAGGAAACTGAGGCACATGGAGGTGAAGTAACTTGCTCAGTCAGTCATTGCTTGAGTCAGGCTTCAGATCAGGGAATGAGTCCAGAGGATGTATTTTTGCTCTGTCTGTAGCATAAAGGAGAGCCTGTATGTGCAGTGACTGGCTAAGGTACCATGCTGGGGGTTCCTAGGAGTGGCAGTTGTTATTACTATTACCTTATATCCTGCTTCCTCTTAAGTTGGTGTCTTGCTTGGTCACCAACTCACTCCTGCACTCCTAATGTATCCACACCATATAGCTAGTCATCCCACAGCACATGCTGTGGACACACCAGATTGCTAAGGGGACAATGATGATGACTTGGACCCACAATGAGCTCCACTGTTATTTCTTCCAGAGATAAACTCGGATGTGGTCCCAGAATCGCCTCCACAGAGGCAGGCTCTGCTCTCATCATTGAACCAGTATGTTGCTTCCCTTGCCATTGGTTCTCTAATATCTTCTCCAATGAGGCCAACAGGGATCATGGCTTATCCAACTCTGGTCCTATCTGCAGTGCTGTTCCCCATAACCTCCACTCTTACAGACATTCAAGGAGTCCTCCACAGGGTGCGTGGTTGGGCAGAGGGTCTGACGACAACAGCAGCCTCTTACTTGTGAAGAAAAACGATCTCCACATTGACATCGTCCCGGTCCTTGTGCAGAAAGTCCTTCAGGAAGTTGGAAACACTCTCCAGAGTGATGTGTCCGCAAACCACAATGTGCCTGAACGGGAGAGGCCAGTAAGATCAGGCCAGGCTCCACAAGAGGACCCCACATCCCACCCCTGGCAAGACAGCAGAAGCCAGGCAGCTGCAGGGGAAGCATTCACCTCCTCCCTCCACCTTCATAAAAGCCCAGCTCCCATCCCTGGAGTGCTGTGAGGCAAAGCAGCAGTGCTAGCAGGTGCTCAGAGACTCCTAGACAGAAAAGGCATATGGCTTCTCACCTGATGCTGCACAAAATCCTATTAAAAGCCTAACCGTTTGGCCAAGTGGTTTTATGCATTTAACAATAAGTGACATTATGCTTGTGCTTAAATGCTGCATTATCAAGTCCCTTGCAGATTCATATCTCTCCCTTTCTGCCCACAAAGCGTCCTCCGGGGAGATTTACTGTATGAGTCTTGGTTTATGACATAGAGCTTATCAGGTAATGAGATAACAAATCTTGCTGAAACGATGATTTTGTGTGTAAGAAAGCAGACTTTTATCAGGGTGGCTAATGTGCGGCCTGACATGTTATAGGCTCTGCTGGCCATAAGCAGTAAAAAGGAAATTTTGCATTTTTCCACCATAACTCCTCCGACAATGGGGGCATGTAACACTTTACAGTAAGTGAGCATTACTCAGGGCTAAATGGGGATGGGACATCTATGGAATGGAAGATCATGCTGGCTGGCTGTGTGTCCCCAGAGGACTGCTTCCTTAGGGTGCCTGGGATTTCCAAGAGAGCCAAAGGAATTTACCTCAAGATGGGGAGATGCCGGGAAAGGATGAAGCTGGAATTGCTCGCCTTGTTTGAGGGTGGTTTGGACTTCTGTTTCTGGAAATAGTTTCTCTCACACAGAAGAGATGAGCCCCTCTTCCAGAACTGTTGAGACTGACAGTCCTAACAGCTCTGGGCTCCTGGACCAATCTGACTTGGACACCAGGCTATGCTGTGGCCACTTATATTTGCTACGTGGCCCAATCAGGAGTAAGCACTTTGATGCAAGATTCAGCCGCAAGACAAAAAGCCCAGGACTGGCTGTGGAGATAAAACCACTGGCTTCTAGTGAAGAGACTGTATGTAGCAAGAGGCTCAGCTCCTATCCCTGTGCTCCCCAGGCTGACGTGACAGAGGCTGAATCTCTAGCTGCGCTTTGAGACGTGGGCAGGTGGTGAACATGCAGCATGGTAATTTCTTGGGTAAAATTTAGAATGGCCAGGTCCCTTGCACTTCCTAATTTCTCTGTGCACATTCCAGTAAGGCAGAAAGCTCATTGGCTGGAGGTGGCTCATAATAGGAGGCAGTGATGATGGCTTATGCAATGTTCCATTAGATACCATTATAAGAGCCTGCCCTTTCGTTGTAATTTGGTGCTTGACTAAGTATGTGAGAATAATGCAGTAAACTCATTGGTGAAAGGATAATGATGCAGAACAAAGAGTAAATCAATAATATGCACGATGCACTTAATAATATCACCATTATAGACTGTTATTGTTACGGTGGTGCACTTAGCAATCAGTCACACAGCAGCCACCAAGGGGAGGGAAGAGAGTCAATGAGCTTCTTCAAAAGAGACAACTTAACATGATCACTTTGCTCTCCTGCTAGGTTGAGGGAGCTCCCTTAGCCACCCATCCAAATTGTATGCCCAAAGCCCATATGACGAACCCCCTTGTTAGTATACAGCGAGTAGTATGAGGCTGATATAGCATAACACACAGTATATCAGAATATATAAATTGAGCACTTGGATGTTACGCATTTTATCATATATTTTTTAATGTTTCTTGTGGCACATGTGCATTGACAAGGACAAAATACTTCAAATAAACTTGCATGTTCTGAGTAAGATTTCAGACTTTGAATTCACCAAATGTGTTTGAAGTGAATGAGAAACAGAATTTCCCTAGCGACCTAACTTCCTTGCAACTGACAATAGGGCTATTTTGCCATTCTAATGCCTTCTGCACATAGATTTCCAAGATTAGGAGCAAGGCCAACGCGATTCCAATGTGTGGGTGTCTCCACAGGACAGATGTATGGTCTAGGCCATCCTCATCACTTGGATGTGAAAGTAAGTCAGATGTGATTCCCTGCTCTGCGACCAAGGGTATGTGTCAGCCTGGGTGAGGTACTTATTCCCATTCAATGCAGAAGGAAGCCAAGAAGTTAATACCACCCAGCCAGCCTCCTGTACCAGGCATTGTAAAGTTCAAAGTTCTATACCAGCATAAGCCTGGTTATTACTCAAAGCTAGACTCAAATCAATACAGGTCTGGGGAAATGCCTGAACATTCATCCTTCCTACCCAGGATGCAAAGAACTGAATGAACATCAGCCAGCATCCCCTCCTCCTCTCCTGAAATCATTCTTCCCTAGGAAAGATGTGTGAGAAGTACAAGGGGAGAAGATGAGTTCCTCCCTCTCACCCTTGAATCAAAAGCTCAGCTGGCTGATTTATTCAGCCTTAGAAAAAGTCAGGGTTCTCTTCCTTGAAAGTGTACCGGGTATATATAAAATATATTCCAATGCAATCAATATTATCCCTTAAGCCTTTAATTAACTTTCACTTCTCTTAAGAAGTAGACAAATGCTGGCAAGAGTGAGGAGAGAAAAAGGATTGACTTTTTTCATTTGGTGCTAGCTATCCAATACCATTCTAGACAATTGAAAAAATATATCTTTTAACTACAGCATGATTTCTGGGTGGAGAGCAGTCTTTATCAAAAAGGGAAGAAAAAATCCTCCTTCAAAGTAATTGGTATTTTTGCTCAGAAAAAAAGCAAGATTGATTGAAAGCAGATTGCGTTTTTGCCCAAGGAGAGTTATTAGGTACATTATCATGGCAACCTTGGAGAACCCATATTGTTCCAATCCGTCCTATAGCTGATGTGAAGATTTATGGCTTCCCCCTTTTGTGCCAATAATCATTTCCCTCCATTTTGTTTTCCATACAGTGAAAATTATCAAAGAGCCCACTTATTGAAAATGTTTGAACACATTTAGAATTGATGGATGGGGAGAAGCTGCCTCTAACTCAGCAATCGGTATTAGGAGATCTGCTTCCAACAGCCTCTGTCTGAGAAGAGCCCTGCAGAAGCATGAGGGATGGATGGTGAATGGGAAACATTTATTTACCGGAAATATTTTCAAGACTTTTGAAGATTCCAGGGCCATAGTTTGGGGAACGATATTATTACAGGAAGAAGAGAACTAGAATTTATTGCATCTCCAATTATGACAGATATCATCAAAAATATTCTAAGATAGAGAGCAGGGTATGATGTCATTGGAGGCAGAGTAATGGTTGTTCACAGGGCATGATTTGAAGAATGCCAAAAAAAGACACTCATCCAGTTATTGCTGTTGGGTTCCATGACACCTACATATTTACCATGTGAGATTCATACTCTGATAGCCCTGTGTTAACTCAGCTCAGACAGTAAACAACTACATAGTCTTGGACAATGTACCAAGTTTTCATTTTACAATTAAAAAGCCAGAGCCTCTGAGGGGCCAGAGCTAGTGCCTGATTCATGAAGTTATCCTGATATTTGTGATCTGGGTCTCCCACTTCAGTTCCCACTAAGATCAAGGTGGTAGTGGAAAGGGCAGCAGCTTGTATATCTCAGCTTCTCCTTCAGGTCAGGCAGAGATGGACCCAGAGAGGTCCTCCTGGATACGTGGTGGAGGGCGGTATTGGAGGGATCCTCCACTGGCCAAGGGAGAGGTTTAGTCTGGGGATTGGAGTGGATAAAGCATCAGAGTTTTGTAATCACTAGAGACTGGCTGGATACGCAGGATCATGATAGTTTCAACAAAGTCTGATTATAGGCAGAAATCATAAGTCCTACTGGTCAGGAACTCTTGGGCAAACTTAACTGAAGCCATATGATTGGGGCAGCCAAGAGGCTGCAAAGTGATGCAGATGTCCATTTTATTTTATTTTATTTTATTTTTAGAGCTAGGATATTGCTCTCTTGCCCAACTGGAGTACACTGGTTCAATCATAGGTCATTGCAGCCTTGAACTCCTGGGTTCAAGCGATCCTCCTGTCTTAACTTCCTGGGTAGCTGGGACTATAGATGCATGCCACCACAGCTGGCTAATTTTCTTTTGTGTTTTTGTAGAGATAAGGTCTTGCTATGTTGCCCAGACTGATTATGAGCTCTCAGCCTCAAGTGATCTGCTCACCTTGGCCCACAAAGTGCTGAGATTACAGGCACGAACCACAGTGCCCTGCCCCAAATGTCTATTCTAGACATGTCATGGACAGCTTAGGACTTCCTCACCAGCCCAGAATCTAGAAGATATCAAGAATCTTAATGATCCATTTACAACGGGGAATATTAGGAAAGTTCAGCTGTGAGAGTAGCTAAAACTCTCCCCATCTGTGGCTCTGGACCTGTAAGTTTTTAGATTACCGGCAATTGCCATGACCAGTGATCTATAGAGCCTGATCGCTCAGTTTGTGAAGATGGCCAGTAGACTTCAGCCAGTAACCATCTCTGATCTGATGAATTTTTGGTTTTTAATGCTTTGTCTAGATCTGTAAACAAATATTTCTTGGGCAAAGATAACATAAACTAAACATAAGCTAACAGGTCCTGGCTTAGAAGAAAAGATCCACCTCAGACACACAAGGAAGCTTCTTCGATGCCAAAATATTATCAATGGCACTTTCTGGAGAGGAATTCCTCATCCAGTGTGAGCAAGTAGCGCCTGGTGCCAGGTCAGGGCTCCATAAACATGGGCTGGGTTAACTAAAAAGGGCATTGGAGGGGTAAGAATGCCTTCATGAGAAGAATGTCTGATGATTATGAACGCTACTGAGGGTCACCATAAATTTGCCAGTTGCTTATTTCATGAGCATATCTTCAGTAAATATACATGAGTGTGATTCTCCTGCAGTTTAAGTGTTGCAATGAAATCCCACACATTCTCCTCAATCTCTCTACTCTCTTTGTGGTGATGGGCTAGGAAAGCCTGCCAAGCTGAGCCAGAACTTCAGT